TTTCACTTTCACTTTTTTCGTTTTATACCTAGTTATTCTTTTGCTGTCCCCTATGCCTGTTACTCATAAAGGGAAAATTCTTCATGTAGTAAAACCAGGTTAGTTAGGCGTAAACATGGGTAAATTTGCTGAAACCAGGTAAAAGTGGGTAAATGTGGTGAAACGAGGCTAACTAGGGTAAACATGGGTGAAAAGCATGATAGAAGGGTTACTAGGGGTAAACATGGGTAAATGTGGTGAAACGTCAATAAAAAGTAGTGAGCATGAGTAAACGTTGTCCAACGTGGACATTTGGGGTAAATGAGGGTTATTGATTTTATATGGTAATGAACTGTTTTGGGATGCTTAGTGGGTCTAACATGGTCGCTCTACCCACTTAATACCCCATACGTAGAAGATCAAAAACCCAAAAGCAACAGATTTTCACTGGTAAATGTGATAGCAAATGAATCTTCAGTTTGAATTTGGCCCGAGCTTTGTCTTAGATGTTGGATGGCATCATCTACAGTAAAAGTAATTGGTCTATCCCTAGTCAAAGAGTCATGCGTCAAATTTCCCTTGATTATACAGGACATCTCAACAGCAGCCAATAAAGGAGAAATTTGTTTTGGAGCTGGCAGTTGCCCTATGTTCATGTGATAACCAAGTATAGTGAAGTAAATAGTGCGCGCATTTGAACCTCTTCTGCCATTCATTGTAGCCTGGGAAACAGACAGTGGAAAAAAAAAAAAAAGAAATTTGTTGCCTGCAATTTTCACTGATGTTATGTTAACGTTTTGATTAACTTGTTGTGCTGAATGGTGGACTTGGTCTTTGCAGTGTGGCTGTTGTGGACGTACTTGTTGACTTTCGTGTTCTTCCCCTTGTGATCTTAATGAAGGTCGCGGGACAGCGACATTGACTAAAAAGCCTTCTACAAACTTTTCCCATTCATCTGATTCACAGAAAGCTGGTCAGTGGGAATTTATAGGAGGTATTTCTGCATCGGGTTCTTCAGAGGCTAAGTTGATGTTTCTGCGGTGGTGTTTGACGATGATGATTTAGTTTGCATTAGTAAACTCTCATTAAAAGGATCAGACGTTGTGCAGTTAGAGTTATTGCGAAGGCAGCACTCCTGTTAAAAAGTGTCGCAGCAAGGTTGTAAACATTGATCAATTTGTTGAGTTGTAGTACAGTTGTTGTAGTCACAAAATGGCTGGATTTGGATACTGATATTTACTATCGAGAGGTTCTTAGGCTTTGTATCAGAAGTGTTCTTGAATATTTGTCCCTTGTTATGACTCTGATTGGGAAGGTTGTCTGTAACAGAAGGAAAATACCTACAATTGTCTGTACGTACTCTTACCTAATGGAAATGACTCCATGCTCGTAATCTCCTTATTGTTAATAATAATAATAATAAAGAATAAACTTTATTTCTATAGTGTCTATATTACTAGCTGTTATACAGGCGCTTTACATTATTACAAACGATGTATTAAGATGCCAATAAATTACAACAATAGGAATAGTAATAATGATACCTAAATGAACAAAGAACTGTCCAAGCGCATAAATATATCTATAACTCAGAAAATCTAACAACCACATGTATAAGTAGGAAAGTCATTAAGCACCATTGAACAAAACGTTTCCCTTAAGATCATTATGCAGGAAGCCATCCGTTTGAAGAAACAACATTTTTCCCATTTCTCCGAGGATCATGGTGCACTCACTGTCCTTGGGAATCACACTGTTTGTCTCAGCCTTGGATAGGATCATACTTTGGCCTTACACAGCGTGATGCTTGGAAACAAGGCAAAAAGGTGCTTTTTTAAAGGGAACGCAAAGTAAATGTGTTAATCCAAGTTCCAACAATACCATAACCTTGTGCAACACTTCATGCTTGGCCCACTCCAGTTCACAGTCCAGGGGTTGCCTGCAGGGGCTTCACATGCTTTACAGCTTAGCTCCAGATCCTTTCAGGCACCATTCCCCATTCTCTCATTTATTGTTGATGGGTTTAATGACAAGTAAATAAAATTAGAGTGTCCTTTTTTTGTATAACTCATTGGTCTATTGCCTAATCATGAATTAAGTAGAATGACTCTGAGGAGGAAATTAAAATAAGAAGAACAAGTAAATCTTAAATTTGTGTTTTGTTCACTGAGCCCTTAGTATTATGAATATGAATATGTGGTATCATTGTTCAACAGAAAAAATATAGTTTTAAGTGATTAAAGGATTTAAATTTATTTTCCACCAAATTAAGTTAGTAAAAACCACAATATCTATAATCATTTTACTACAGCGATAATAGACTAACCCTTCCATGACATTGCAAAAAATCTCCCAGTGATTTCAAGGAAGAGACCTCAGATGTCCCTGGTAGTCCGTTGTGAAGAAAATGCCACTGTCTGAATAGGTTCTGCTCAAAAAAATAAGTGCAGTCTTTTGGACTGCCTGGCTAGTACCCAGCTGAAAGAACATGTACCAAGGACATTGGGTTTATTATAAGGCT